GGGAGCCGCGAGCTCCCCGGCAGTTGGAGGGGGCGGGGCAAGCGCGTTCCCGGCGGCCCGCGGGGCCTGGCCTCGGGTCTCCTAATGAGGGTCCCTCATAACTTCGGATCCGGAGCTGTGCAGGGACCCAGGGGACCAGCAGACGAGCAGAGGCAGACCGGTCAGATTCCTTTCTGTACACTGGTGTCATCATTCACCTTTTATTGAGCAACCACAGGGCAAGTCACGTTGCGACTTACTGAAAATACAAAAAATAAAACAGTAATATCTTACCCTCCGGAAACTTGCGTTTTCCTGAGTTTTCTTTTTTAAACACATACTGTACGAAGCGAGAGAAATTTGGGTGTGAAGGAAGAGGAAAGTAATTCGAGGGAAGAGTAAGGTTCTCGAAAAGCTGCCCTGTGACAGCTAGGTGAGATCTGAAAGCTAGATGAGAGATGGAGGAAGGTGTAGTATTTTGCTGGACCACAAAGTGAGAAGTGTGGTTGGCAAACAAGGTATGTCCTTAAATGTCAGTAAAACCAGGCTATTTGTCTCCTGGCTTTAAGTTCTTGATCAGTCACTCCATTGTGCTCAAATTCTTAAGATTAAAATCTATACTCCCTCACTGATGAACTGGGTTGACTTTTAGAGAAGCGAAAGGTCAATGGAGGTGCAAACAGCAAAATTAAGAAGCAGACAGTGAGAAAAGACTGGAGATAGGAAAGATCGCAATGTGTTCGCTGGTGCACAAAAAAAAGTAGTGAAGGTTGAAGGCAGCAGAAGCAGAAACCCACGTGGGAAAAGACGTTAGCAGCAGAAGAGGGTGGTTGTCAGCTCCACCTGGAAAGGTAACAAAGAGTGTTTGTCAAAGGGAAGGAGGAATTAATGGAAGATTTGAGGTTACAAAGAGAACTAGGAAAAGATTAGTTTTGGTAAACACACACACACACACACACACGCACGCGCACACACACAGTACGTTAAATTTGGCAGATTTGACAGATCTGCCAATACCAGCAAAATCGGAAAAATAGGAGTTTTAACAACTGCATGGGAGTATGTACTGCAAAGGGAACTCACTTTGATTTTTCTTTACTGAATATTTAACCATTTGTTGTTTTGGTTTGTTTTTGGTTTTGCTTGCTCTATATCAAGCATTGTGGCAGGTGTTAGAGGCACTACCCTAAATACCTGAAGTGCTTAAAAGGTAATAAAATGTTAGTAAATGTCTACATTTCAGTACTTATCAAGAAACAAACTTGTTAATATAAGTGCCACATATGATTTTCTAAGCAAACATTTCTTATAGAGAAGTGTTTTTAGATCTCTAGCACATTCTCTGGGTAAGCACCAGCAGTTCTTTCTATACTTTTTATAGGTTTCCTTATTCTTGCAGTTACGGAGTTGTGAATTTAAAAGCAGAACTTGGCTGTTACTTCCCAAAAGTCGAGTACATTTTATTAGTCTTAAGTTTCACAACATATGTGTTTTATCCCTGTACTTACAAAATACTTAATGTAAAGTAATCCTTACAACATTTCTAAGACATTATGTCTATGCCAGTATCATTGTGGGTCATAATTAAATCCATTATTAATATCAGTAAGGCAACACAGAAAAATACCAGTGATATTCTTAAGAAGGTACATCAAGCATTTTACATTTTAAAAGAGATTAATTCCAACAGAAAAGAATTTATCATGCCAGATTCTACAAGTAACCTGAAATTTGTTTCATTTCAAAACTGTAAAAATAATCTTGGTCACATGTGCCTAGACCTGGCCTAAAGACATTTTTTTTAATCTACAGGAAATTAAATAGTGATCTCACAAAAATAAGTTTTATTTATATTTTAAATGGACTCATTGTATTTGCCCCCGGTCAGTGTATAGGTTATTGTGTAGTGTAATGGAATGGGGTATAGCAGAAGAAAAAAAGGGGGTGAAATGAGGGAACACTTTGAATTGGTAAGAAGGAAAGGCAAAATTCAAGAAGATTATATATGAAAATCCCAACTTTTCCTGGCTTGTAAAAGTGGTCCATAAAATTACATATTTACTATTCATAAAATGAATCCAAATTACAAAGTGTACTTCATTTATTAAGAAGCAAAATTGAACATCTGAAGATTTTGACGAAACCTATTGGAAGCAAATGTGAGTTTAAAAACATATGAAATTAATTTTTTATAAATCAGATTGCTCAGCAGCAGCACTGTTGACATTTTGAGCTGAACAGTTCTTACTAGAAAACTATCTTGTGTATTATAGGTAGTATAGCAGCACCCCAGCACTACATGCCAGTAACATATACACACGTGTATCTGCACACGCAAACCAACTGACAATCAAAAATATCTAAATATTGACAAATGTACTCAGGATAAGGTGGGAAGCACGAAGTCACCTCAAGTTAATGATGAACAAATGCTTTCCTCAGAAGTATGTGTCTCTATTAATATGAACTTTATAGGCCTGTCACTAACATTAATCATCAGGTTAAAATACTCTCATAATCCTTCTTAGTCTCAGCTTCCTCAACCAAATGGCAATGTCCTGAAATTCGCCATCATAAATGCAATCCTAGCCACTTATTTCCTGCAATACTGCTTTCTATCCACTGAGTGGCATGCCATTCACTGTAGGAAATCCTAAGAATAACCTTTTCAAGGACCAGGAAGAATCCATAATTAGGAAGTTTCATAATAAAAGTTAAATCACATCTCTAAACTTTAATATTCTTGTATGGCATTTCTGTAAAGTTACTTTGATAGGCACTTGATAATTGCACTGTATCAGATTATATTATAATAATGTATGACGTGTAAGACAAAATATGTGTATTTTGAATTCAACTTTTTTTAATGTTCAGGATTATCAAGGAATTAACTGCAGAGCAACAATTCCCCTCAAAATATCCATGTCATTCAGTTCAATCAATATAGTGAGATATTGGCTCCTGAGGTTTAGTGATAAACTAACCCAAATAAATATATACTAAACTCTTTAGATTTAGCAAGTATGTAATAATAGTTCTATTGACATTGTGTCCTGGAAAATATGGGTTTTCTTGTTTATTTGTTATACTGGAAATTAATATCTCTTTCTATAAATATCATTTATACCTCTAATATCAACTGTTAAACTAAAAATAGTCTCCATACACAACAAGTAGAAATTTACCTAATTAAAACCTGATGTTATCAAAGGGAATAGCTCTACTTTTCATTAATGGAAGGACTGCCAAAGCTGCAGTCATTCAGTAATGCCAAAGTTGCCAGTTGTTTGTGGTTACAATTTGTCCAGTGTGACAGGTGCCATAAAGTCATAGAATATTGGAATTTTGAAAGCTGAGTGGATGCTTTAAAAACAAAAAGTACCTTGGAGTACAAGCAACTTAAGCAAGTAAGAAATTTACTGAAAGGCTACCAGGGAATCTTATGAAAATGAAGAAGAGTTGAACAGTCAAGCCCCCAAAAGAGCAAGAAGCAGGGCATTTCTGAGGCCAGCAACAGGTGAGTATAGACTTTTCTCAGTGACAGGTAATATTGCCAACATCCCTCAACCTCTGGGTTCCCCTATTCCATACTGCCAGGGTAGACCACCTACCCTAGCATGGGAAATGTGTCCTTTCCTGGTTATGGGAGGCTGGGCCACATGATTCAGATTTTACATATCACTGTGTAACGGAGGCTATTTCCTGAGAAGAGAGGGAACCACACAGCCATCTCAAGAGGTATTTATTATAATCATTTTTCTTTATCTTGTCTACTTTAAAGTAGGAAGCTATGGCTAGAGAGAGGTACAAAGGTAGCCCATAGACTAGACAGACTAGAATTTACTATTTTGATTCAATCAGTTTCCTCTAAGTACTGGATTTTCTCCTGTTGAACACAACCTAAATACTGTACTTCTAAAGTTTTCCTTTAGAAAATCCAAAATCTCTGTGGCAATGAAAAGTCTTCCCACCAGAGAAGACCTATTAGTAATCACAAAGTTACACCATTCTGTCCTTTAACATTACCTCAGCAGATTCCATTACTTTCTCATCGTTTATTATATTTTTTAGAAGAAGAAAAGAAAACAAACAGTTTAGCACAGTTGTTGCAGAATTCTGAGATACAAATGGGCATCAGGAAGATTTATTTAAGGTGTATACACCAGCTCAGCGGACTTTGATTTCAAAATGGCTGAGCATTGAACAAAGAGAAGTTTCAGCTTTTATGCATTTTGTTGAAGGAAGTAGTTTTTCTAGTGATAACAGCTAGTGAGTTTACCAGAACAGGACAAGGGCAGACAGTTTTGTAACTTTGCCTTGAAAGAAGATAGTGTCATACAAGAACAGAGTGTCATAAACTTTGCTTACAGGACATAGTTGTTAATTTTATCTGTACCAAAATAAAGAGTTACAGCTACAGGGGAGAGGGTGGAGGTAAGGGGGGCTGCCTAAGGCGGGGAAGGACTTGTTTTTCTTTCAGTCCTGCATCCCAGGTAAAGTGTTGTTCTTCCAGCTGATTCAGGACTTCTCACCTCAGATCTGCTCTGCCTGTTCCAGAGACTTTCAATGAGAGAAAGGGATATAATGGAATCTTTCAACCCTTCCTCATCTTCCGTCTCTTCCATCTTCTGTCCTTTGCTGTCAGGCCATTAAGTGGTTTGGGGTAGGAGGATTCTAGTTGAGGGAAGAAACTACTTGGAAAGCATTGACTATACTTTTTGATTTGGGCCTATGGTTTTATTGGAGAAAATATTTTAGTTATTAGTCACTTTCCTTGTCGTCAAGACATAATACCCAACACCCACAACTTAAAGGAGGAAAGGTTAATTTCGACTTATATTTTCAGTCCAAGGGCAAAAGCGCATGGTGGAAGACCCTGACCCAGAGTAAAGCTGCTTCCATCAGGGTGGTTAGGAAGCAAAG